GATCAGTGCAAAGAAATAGAGGAAAACAATAGAATGGGAAAGACTAGAGATCTCTTCAAGAAAATTAGATACCAAGGGAACATTTCATGCAAAGATGGGCTCAATAAAGGACAGAAATGGTATGGACCTAACAGAAGCAGAAGATATTAAGAAGAGGTGGCAGGAATACACAAAGAACTATACAAAAAAGATCTTCATGACCCAGATAACCATGATGGTGTGATCACTCACCTAGAGCCAGACATCTTGGAATGTGAAGTCAAGTGGGCCGTAGGAAGGATCACTATGAACAAAGCTAGTGGAGGTGATGGAATTTCAGTTGAGCTTTTTCCAATCCTGAAAGATGATGCTGTGAAAGTGCTGCACTCAATATGCCAGCAAATTTGGAAAACTCAGCAGTGGGCACAGGACTGGAAAAGGTCAGTTTTCATTCCAATCCAAAAGAAAGGCAATGGTAAAGAATGCTCAAACTACTGCACAATTGCACTCATCTCACATGCTAGTAAAGTAAGGCTCAAAATGTGAACCCTGAACTTCCGGATGTTCAAGCTGGCTTTAGGAAAGGCAGAGGAACCAGAGATCAAATTGCCAGCATCCACTGGATCATCGAAAAAGCAAGAGAGTTCCAGAAAAATATCTACTTCTGCTTTATTGACTATACCAAAGCCTTTGACAAACTGTGGAAAATTCTTAAAGAGGTGGGAATGCCAGACCATCTGACCTGCCTCCTGAGAAATCTGTATGCAAGTCAAGAAGCAACAGTTAGAACTGGGTATGGAACAACAGACTGGCTCCAAATCGGGAAAGGTGTACATCAAGGCTGTATATTGTCACCCTGCTTATTTAACTCATATGCAGAATACATCATGAAAAATGCCAGACAGGATGCAGCACAAGCTGGAATCAAGATTTCCAGGTGAAATATCAATAACCTCAGATATGCAGATGATACCACCCTTATGGCAGAAAGTGAAGAACTAAAGAGCCTCTTGATGAAAGTGAAAGAGGAGAGTGAAAAAGTTGACTTAAAACTCAACATTCAGAAAACTAAGATCATGGCATATGGTCCCATCACTTCATGGCAAATAGATGGAGAAATAAGGAAACAGTGACAGACTTTCTTTTCTTGGGCTCCAAAATCATTACAGATGGTGACTGCATGAAATTAAAAGACGTGTGCTCCTTGGAAGAAATGTTATGACCAACCTAGACAACATATTAAAAAGCAGAGACATTACTTTGCCAACAAAGGTCTGTCCAGTCAAAGCTATGGTTTTTCCAGTAGTCATGTATGGATGTGAGAGTTGGACTATAAAGAAATCTGAGCACAGAAGAATTGATGCTTTTAAACTGTGGTGTTGGAGAAGACTCTTGAGAGTCCTTTGGACAGCAAGGAGATCCAACCAGTCCCTCCTAATGGAAATCAGTCCTGAATATTCACTGCAAGGACTGATGCTGAAGCTGAATCTCCAATACTTTGGCCACTTGATGTAAAGAACTGACTCGTTGGAAAAGACCCTGATGCTGCGAAAGATTCAAAGTGGGAGGAGAAGGGGATGACAACAGAGGATGAGAATGTTGGATGGCATCACGGACTCAATGGACATGAGTTGAGTAAACTCTGGGAGTTGGTGATGGACAGGGAGGCCTGGTGTGCTGCATGCATCCATGGGGTCACAAAGAGTCGGACACAACTGAGCGACTGAATTGACTGATGGACTGAGACGAGTGCAATTGTTCAGTAGTTTGAACATTCTTTGGCATTGCCTCCAAGGTCAGGGAACTATTAAGAAGATCCCACAAGCTGCAAGGTGGGGCCAAAACAACAACACATACCTGGTACAATTGCTAAAAGCTAACTCTCCACCCACAAACAACTGAAGGTGACTGGAGGAAAGCCACAACCACATTATGACTCTTAATCTACTTTAAATTGATCAGAAACCTCACATGGGAAGTCAGTGCTAACCAGATTATCAAACAGTTGGTCCCTAATCACTCACTGTTTCACTGTTGCTGTTCAGTCACAAAGTCTTTGTCTGACTGTTTGCACACCCCATGGACTGCAGCACACCAGGCTTCCCTGTCCTTCACTATCTCCCAGAGTTTGTTCAAACTCATGTCCATTGAGTTGGTGATGCCATCCAACCATCTCATCCTCTGTCGTCACCTTCTCCCTGGCCCTCAATCTTTCCCAGCATCAGGATATTTTTCAACAAGTTGGTTCTTCCCATCAGGTGGCAAAGGGTTGGAGCTTCAGCTTCAACTTCATCATCAGTTCTTCCAAAGAATATTCAGGGTTGATTTCCTTTATGGACCTTGATGCCATGATCTTCGTTTTCTGAATGTTGAGTTTTAAGCCATCTTTTTCACTAGCATGAACCTGGGAGAGAAAATGCTAGTTGCCTTCAAATGCATTTCCCTCTTCTTCAGTATTAATATAATTTAAGATTTTTAGTTAGGCTGATATTCAGTTGTAATAAAGACTAAATTTCTCAGCTTTCCTTGCTGCTAGATCTGGCCATGCAATTAAGTTCTGGTGAATGAAATGTAAGCAGAAGTGATATTTATGTTTTTAGGAAAGTGTTTTTAAGGAAAGAGGGCATGACCTTCTTCCCGCTTCTCCCTTCTTACTGACTAGAATTGAGATGAAATGGGTGGAGGTTGAGCAGCCATACTCAATATTGGTATTTTTAGATGTGTGTAGGACAAATTTATATCATTGTATTTGTTATTCAAACAACAGAAAGAAAGGAATGTTATTTACTGTTTACAATTTCAGAAATTATGTATTTAAATGTACTTCCTATATTTTGTCAATGTACCTTCTAATTCCTACTCCTTCTGAAATAACATCCAAATATCTTAAATAAAATTTAAGAGATAATAAAGGAGGAATGATAAATTTTAAAACAATTGTAAGGCTTAAGATTCAGAAGTTTCCAACTCAGACCCATATTTAGCGGTGATAATAAAAATAACTTTTCTTAAATCGAAACCCAAAGTGACACATGCAGTTGGGATGGGGGAGAGCAGGGCTGTTTTGTCTTTTCATGTTTAGGATTAAAAGACAGAAGTCTTGATGATGGAGTTTACCATGGTTGATGTTTTAGAAAGCACAGATTAAAAAGAATTGATGTCTTTGAAAGTAATGACAAGACTTATTTTCTCAAATTTAAATTGAATCAGTAGCTCTCTGAACATATTCCCATGCTAGCTCTGAATTCAGTTGTACTATTGACCCGTCTTTGAGAAGGAGTGTTACAGTACAAAGAGCATGGGCCGCTGAACCAGACTGACCTAGATAGGGAGCCCTGTCATGCCACTTGTCAGCTATGGGCTATTGCCCAAATCATTTAATCTCCCTGGGTCAGTTTTTTTATGCATAAAACTGGAATACTTATTTCTGACACAGGATTGTTTTAAACTTATATGAAATAAATATCTAATGTGCTTTGTAATGCTGAACCCTCAGTGAACTTTTACCGACTGAATTAACATTAAGCAAACAAGTTAGTGATATTTAATGTCAAATGACATTTTGGACTCCATAGATAACTTTTCCCCTGTTATTAATTTTGCTTAGTTTTTAGGGTTAAATTCATTTTTATTTAAAAATACTGGGGTGGGGGGAATGCCAAAACCTGGAAATAATTTTTTTTAATAAAAATTTTTAAAGAGATTCAGCAAGAGAGAATTAGAAAGCACAGTCAATTCTCTTCCTTTTTTCTTTAACAACTGAATTACTTTTCTCACAGTTCTGGAAGCTAAAAGTCCAATATCAAGGTGTTGGCAGGTCAGGTTTCCTTTGAGTCTTCTCTTCTTGGTTGTAGATGGCCATTTTCAGCCTACGTCTTCACATAGTGTTCCCTCTGGATCCTCATCTCTTCTTATGAGGACAGCAGTCATACTGGATTAGGGTTCACTCTAATGGCATTTTAAGTTAATTACCTCTTTAAAGACCCTGTCTCCAAATACAGTCCCATTCTGAAATACTTAAGGTTAGGACTTCAGTGCATGAATTTAGCGGGCTGGGGGTGGGGGGTGGTGTGGGGAATGAAATGCAGCCTATAACACCCCTCTACTCTGCCACTCCTGTTTTAGCAAAAGTCTTTCCCTGATAGCTCAGTTGGTAAAGACTCTGCCGGCAACGCATAAGACCCCAGTTCCATTCCTGGGTGGGGAAGATCCCCTGGAGAAGGGATAGGCTACTCACCCCAGTATTCCGGGCTGCAGAATTCCATGGAGAAGTCCATGGGGGTCCAAAGAGTCAGACCTGACTGAGCGACTTTCACTTTCACTTTCCAATTTTAAGACACTAAAATTTTGCTTAGTTTTGAGGACAGTAAAATACTTAAACTAAGTATTATATTATAGTTATTGAAAACATTTCTGTTAAATGAGCACACAGTGGATACAATCACTTTAATCTAGGGCGGCCTATTCCCAGGGCCTGGGGAGGACATGCAAGTGGTCAGAGCCCGGTCAAAAGGGACTCGCTAAGACCAGGGGAAGAAGGAGGCGATCAGCGGGGAAAGGAGAGACAGTCAGCAGGTGGTCGGTACAAATGCAATCTGTAAAAACACATTTCACGGCCAGTTTTACTGATGGTGACTGAGTGACGTTCCTGTTCCTGATGACTAGAGAGCTAACTCTGATACAAGACTTCAGCTTAGACAGCGCTTTGACAGGCTGTCTCTCTTAATCCTCTCGTCCCCGGACGAGGCTGGTGGAGATGTGTCAGCGGTCAATTGTTTAGTCTGAGCACATTCCAAAGAGGAAAACGCGCCCCCGCGCAGGAAAGGGACCCACTTATAGGACAGTTAGTCAGCGAGGACGGGCGGTCACCACGCCCCCTCTGGAGACAGGCGCGGTAAGCCGAGCTCTTCCCGCTCAATAGTTGTCCAGCCGGGGGAGGCTGCGTCACTGCTCCGCGCAGCGAGGCGGGGCCTCGCCCGGCCTTCCGTCACTCGTCTGCGCCTGCGCCTGCGCGGATCGTCATGCTGTCAACTAGGTGTGTGGGTCTGGTACTACTCCCGCTGCGGCGCCTCCAGAGGTTTCCGGGATTCAGGACCAGTCTCTTCCTGCGCTGCCTTGGGCGAGAGTCCTTCGAGAGAGGCCGGTTACTGTGTTTTAAAGCCTCACCTAGAGACACGGGAGATGAAGAAGGAGAGCACGAGGCGGCACAGAGGAAAGCCCCAGGCGCAGACTCGCCTCCACCTCTCCCTCCCCGTGTCCGGGGACTTGGGACCAGATGTCTGTCGTCGCTGGAAAGTCTCGGACTCCCGACGCCGCGAGAGAAGTCACCCTCTCAAGAGAGCGAGGGCTCGAGTGGAGACCAGGGCCAGTCGGATTCTGCACACCCGGGATCCGGGAGTCCCTCAGTGCCCGCCTTGGTCCAGCCTGCCACCAAGGACGAAATCCTACACGTCTCCTCTTCCTGGTCCGCTTCTAGAGTGGTGCCTTTTCGCGTTGGGGAGCTCATTTTAGCTGAGACTGGGAAGAGAGAAACACAATTTAAAAAATTATTTAGGTTGAGCAACGCCGGACACTTAAATAGTAATTGGGGGACAGTCCCGTTCAGCGAGATCGTGGGGAAGTTCCCCGGCCAGATTCTGAGGAGTTCCTCTGGTAAACACTTCATGCTGAGGAGGCCGGCATTGGAGGATTATGTGTTACTGATGCAAAGAGGGCCTGCCATAACGTATCCTAAGGTAATGCCATGGAGTTACTAAGAGCAAAACGGTTGCAGTACTACAGACCTGATTAATGTACTTAAAGCACCGCTCAGAATGTTTCAAGTTTGTATTCTCTTTTTTTTTTTAAACCAATAGCTATAACTTTTACATATTTTTTGATTTCTAATTCTAGGAAGAAACAGCCAGATTTTAATTTTAACTTGGGAGCCTCGATTCTCTGATTTGTAAAGTGACTTACTATCATGGAGTGATGTGGACTCACTAGGCATTTAATAAGAATGTTCATTTATTCCCCATAATACTTAAGTTTGCAGGTTCAGCCTTCAAGAGAATGTTGAACTCTTGGGGACAATTGTTTAGTACCACTCTGGTGATATTTTAAGCATCATACTTAATCAGGTAAGTTATTAGAGGTTGTTGTTCAGTCATTAAGCTGTGTCCGACTCTGCGACTCCACAGACTGCAACATGCCAGGCTTCCCTGTCCTTCTCTGTCTCCCTTAGTTTGCTCAAACTCATGTCCATTGATTCGGTGATGCTATCCAGCGATCTCATTCTCTGTCTCCCCCTTCTCCTCCTGTCCTCAATCTTTCCCAGCATTAGGATTTTTTCCCAGTGATTCCACTCTTCACATCAGGTGACCAAAATATATTTTATCAACAATAGATTTATTACTATGCTTTTATCATTAGGGAAAAATGTTTGTATTAAAACAGCTAAAATTAGACACTAAACATAAAAGGGATATTCTTTAAAGGAAATTACCTACCAATTCCTTGTTACAGTCTTGTATCCATTGCTAGTGGATTATTTTAATCATTCATCATAGTCACTGTCCTTGAGTAGAATGTTCATTTGTAATTATCCTCCAGTCCTAGATGGAGAATCATTCATTATTTCTTCAGCAAATAACCACCAACCTTGTACATTCAGGGCACTATTTTAGGGAGGTGTAGTGGTGAACTATAGTCCTTGCTCTCAACACAGACCTCATGTCCTAGAGCAATGGCCCCCAACCTTTTTGGCACCAGGGACTGGATTCATGGAAGACAATTTTTCCACAGACTAGGGTGGGGTGGGGCGGTGTTGTCAGGTTGATTTAAGCACATTATGTTTATTGTGCACTTATTCCTATTATTATTACATTGTGATATATAATGAAGTGTTTCTATGTCTTACATGAAAGAGCCAAGGAAACAGAACTGCTTCTTGTGGGCATTTCGTTTAAATGATTGCTGGAGCTGCCTCCCACTCCTGGGTGAAATTATCTGTGCCCCCTCCCACCTTTGCTCCCATGTGCCTGACAGATGGGAAAGGATATGTGTGTCTGAAAGGCTTTGAATTTGTGACTGAAACTTTTTGAAGAGTACACCTTAAATATTATGTGTCTGTGTATCATCTGGTTCAAGTCTTAGTCCATCATTTCAGAAAACACATTTGGCTTTCAGTTGGACCACTGTACTTGTTAAATATTAATAGTTTCTTATGCAGCCAAACCCATATTTAATACACAGTTTTTTTGTGATTAAACAGAGGATCTTATTCTTTTTTAGAATTTTCACTTCAGCTTTTCCCAGAGAAGAAAAAGATAGTAAAAACTTAATTGATATGCTGCTTATTAGCAACTTCAAAAGGTTTGCTATTGGGGGGAATGTTGAAATAAATGCTAAAATTTACATTTTTTCTCTCTATAGCATTTATAACAAATAGTGTAACAGTCAACTGCATGGTGTTTGGGAGTTCAGCATCAGTATTACTTGCCCACTTAATTCCTGGCTGTGTGACTTTGGGCAAATTACTTAACCTTTCTAATTTCTCATCCTTTAATGGCAGTGGTGATCATTTTCTCATTATTATTCTGATTAAACAAGAAAATATTTGAAAGCAGTTTGCATAGTTAACAGAAGCCTGGTACCTGGTGAAGTTTCAATGAACAGCTGTTACTACTATCACCCATGATATTCCTGTTAACAAAACAATTCTTTAGTTATAAAGTTTGGCAAATGTGTCCTCCTGTCTGTTCCTGGTATCCTAATTCTAAATGAGAAGTCATCATTTCATGCAGATTATGTAATAACTTCCTAACTTGTCTTTCTGCCTCTAATTTTTCTCAATTCTAGTACACCCTGTATTGCCCTGACAGATTAATCTTTATAAAATGCCATTTATATTACCTCAGTGACACATCCTAGTTACTTACCATGTTAAGTTTAAATGCTTTAGCCTGGATTCAGATGAGCAAACTGTTTTATTCTACCTCTTTTTTGTTGAAAGCTGTCCCTACCTTGTGACTGTTTCCTTACATTTTCAGTCTTTAAGCCAGGGTGCTCTGCTGATTTCTCTCCTCTCTCTGAGCTCCTAATGTTACTTATTGTTTGTAATTTCAGTATTATACTTAAGTCCTTTTGTATTTGCTAAATGATTCCTGAATCTCTCATTTTGTCAAGTAAACTATAAACTCTTGGTAGAAAGGGCCTTTTTTTTTCCTTCAGTTTTCTCCAAGCTCAACATAGTGTTCAAAGGAGTAGGTGCTTAGTACATATTTATTGGCCACACAATCATCCATGCTGTATTTCAATCATAGGATATAAATATGATACTGTCGATGATGAATATCCACCCAGGTGATACTGTTTTGGAAGCTGGCTCGGGCTCTGGTGGAATGAGCTTATTTTTATCCAAAGCAGGTAAGAGATTGGGGTAAATGAATTTAAATGACAAAGAAAACATTCAATCTGTTCATAATAACAGAAAGTTAAATAGATACAGATAATGTTCACATAACTTTGTGATAGAGAGCATTCTCTTTGAAATCAAATGTAAGCAATCATTTTTCTATTTTGTACATTTATTCAGGTCACTTTCTGTCTAACCCTCTCTGCTTTCTATTGCTCCTTCGATGCTTTTTTTTAACTGAAATTTTTATTAGAACATAACACAGCAGCAGAAAAGTGCACAGATCATTAGTGTATACCTCAGTGAATCTTTATGTAGTGACCACACTCATGTAGTTATTACCCAGATCAAGATAGGGAATATTATTGTACTGTTGAAACCTTCTCAAATCCCTCTCAGTCCTTATCCTAACCAAAGGTAGAAGGTAACCACTACTTTGACTTTAATCACCATTGATGAGTTTTGCCTGTTTTGAATCTTACATAAAAGGAATCCTTTAGTACTATACGCTTTTGAATCAGTTACTTTCATTCAGCATTCTGTTTGTGAGGTTCAGTCATTGCATGTAGCAGTAGTTACTTCATTATAGTTGCCATTTTATAAGTGAAGCACAGTTTATCCATTCTGTTGATGGGCATTTGAGTTGAATGTTGTAAACAGTGCTCCAGTGCTCCTCCGAACACTCTTGTGCTTGTCTTTCAGTGCACATGTGTACATGTTTTTGTTGATAATAGTGCCAAATGAATACTCAGTATCAGAAACTATAGAAGGGGGAAAAGGGCTGTCAGCTGCTGGGGAAGAGTCATATACTATTAGAGGCAAAGAATTATCATTGTTCATGAATAAATTAATTAAGCTATTAAGCTAAAACTAGATCATGAAGAATTTTCCTTTCTTAGAGAAAGTCTCTAAAAATGGTCAGTTGGTTAAAATACTGCTTAAAGGTCAAAAATCAATAGGTACATAGTAAACATAAATATCTGTTCATGTTACCTCCACTTGAATTCTGGTTACTGTTGTTGTAGCTGATTACTGCTCCTTTTGGCCACTGAATTCCTCTGATTGTCAAGGTTGCTTTGGCTTGTTTGACTGCCTCTGCAGTGTTCCCTTTCTCACCCAATAATAGACTGCACTCTCTTTGGATAAATATTTTAAAAAAATCATTCATGTTGTTTTTATTAGTGCATTCTTTTTTAGCTAATAAACATTGTTAGAGCAGTTGTAGGTGTATGTGGGTAGATTTTATAAAGATTCCAAATAGACATATACTGAATTAAACCTTTTGTTTTTTGACCTAATGTCATCACATACAAACATAATCCAGCTTATCCTGGGTCAGGAAATTCATTTTGGGCTCCTCACCTCTTTTGTTGGACTCTTTTCTGTGCATAGTTAAAGGCAGCCATTTCTTCACAGTCTGTGACTGATTCCTAAGTGCATTTAACAAAGTGAACTTATAAAAGTTTGTGAGATAGGAGTGTCCATATTTCTAATACCTATAGTGTTGGAGGAGTGTCACATAGCATGAATAATCCCAACCTATGAGTGATCAAGAAATCATTGCTATTTACCTTCAGGATGGATATTTTTGCTCCATAATTTTCTAAACGTTTAGCTTATGCTGCTATTAACATTAATTTTTATCCCTTGAGAACATGATGAATTATAGCTGGACTTACATTTTAAAGAGACATGCTGGAATTTAAACTCATTTTAACTATAGACTGATTGACCTGGGACAGCCTCCAAATCAAATCACCTCATATAGAGAGGGATAGAAAATTAATTGCTATATTTAAAATGTAGTAGTTTTCTGTGAATCTACAGTATTGCTATGATAGTTTGGAAGTTTTTCAGACACACACAAAAATACAAGTATCTTTGAAAGTGAAGTGAAAGTGGTTCAGCCTTGTTTGACTCTTTGTGACCCCATGGACTATACAGTCCATGGAATTCTCCAGGCCAGAATACTGGAGTAAGTAGCCTTTCCCTTCTCCAGGGGATCTTCCCAGTCGGGGGATCGAACACAGGTCTCCCACATTGCAGGTGGATTCTTTACCAGCTGAGCCATAATGGAAGCCCAAGTATCTTTTAAGTATCCAAAAGGCCTAACTTCATCCTAACAAAAGACATGCAAGTTAAAACTACAGTGATAAACTAGATGCAATTTTTAGGTTGATACGAAGTTTGATAATTCTGTTGGAGAGAGTATGGAGAAATACATTATTGGTCAAGTGTAAATTGGTATCATTTTTTTGGAGAACAATTTGGTAATAATTTTCAAAATAAAAAAAATTCACATATCCTTTGAGTCAGCAATTCCATTTTTAGGACTTTATCCTATATATATAACTGGCTTGTTTACAAAGACCTAGGCAAAATAATTGTCACTGCAGTATTGTTTGTAATAGTGTAAGATGAGAAACAAGCTAAATGTTCTTTGGCAGGTGACTGCTTAAATAAACATAGCCATACAAGGGAACATAATAGCTCTTTTAAAAAAATGTAGTAGATCATTAATCACTGAAATGCCATTGGTAAATAAGAAGAAAGGTACAGGACAGTATGTATGATGGGACAAAGTGTTTGTTAAAAACAGAAAAAGAGATACTTGCAAAATGGCACACTTGTAGAGGCACTGACTATCTTGGGAAGGGTAAATAACTGTGGTGATGTGGTTGCCTCTGAAGAGGAAGACTGACTGGGGATTTGGGATAGGATAGAGACTTTTGTGACCTTGAACCACTTGAATTATTTTTTCACACCCATGTAATATCTTTGAAAAATAAGTTTTTGACATTTTTAATAAACTGATTTATACTATGTACTGTCATAATTTTTTTTTTTAATTAAGTTGGCTCACAGGGACGAGTCATAAGTTTTGAAATTCGAAAGGACCACCACAAACTGGCTGTGAAGAATTATAGACACTGGCGTGATTCATGGAAAATAAGTCATGGAGAAGAGTGGCCAGACAATGTAGAGTTTATTCATAAGGATATTTTAGGAGCAACAGAGGACATAAAATCTTTAACATTTGATGCGGTAAGTTTTCTAAAGTGGGTCCTATGATATTACCTAATACTGAGTACAAAGAAAACAAAGGCCACACTTCTTTTGTATGAGAAAGGATCTTTCTTCATTATTTGTCCCATTTCCATTTCTAAGAGTGGGAGGAATATTTTCCTTTAATATCATGGTTGGATTTAGAGCAGAGATATATATATACTGAATTAGGTGCCAGAGTTGTTAATAAATGTGCCTGTGCTGTGCAGGCCATGCTCAGCCACTTCAGTTGCATCCGACTCTTTGCAACCCCATGGACTGTAACTCACAAAGTTACGTGAAGCAAGAACTTCCAGAGGCACAGCTGGGTTTAGAGAAGGCAGAGGAACCAGAGATCAAATTGCCAACATTCGCTGGATCATAGAAAAAGCAAGGGAATTCCAGAAAAACATCTACCACTGTTTCAATGACTATGCTAAAGCCTTTGACTGTGTGGATCACAACAAACTGGAAAACTGTTAAAGAGATGGGAATACCAGACCATCTTACCTGTCTCCTGAGAAACCTGTATGCGGGTCAAGAAGCAACAGTAAGAACCTTATATGGAACAACTGACTTGTTCAAAACTGAGAAAGGAGCATGACAAGGCTGTTTATTGTCACCCTGTTTATTTAACTTACATACAGAGTCCATCATGTGAAATGCCAGGCTGAAGGAGTTATAAGCTGGAATCAAGATTTCCTGGAGAGATATCAACAACCTCAGATATGCAGATGATACCACTTTAATGGCAGAAAGTGAAGAGGAACTAAAGAGCCTCTTTTGATGAGGGTGAAAGAGGAGAGTGAAAAAGCCGGCTTAAAACTCAGTATTAAAAAAAACTAACATCATGGCACCCAGTCCCACTACTCCATGGCAAATAGAAGGAGAAAAGGTTGAAACAGTGATAGATTTCCTCTTCTTGGGCACTAAAATCACTGTGGATGTTGACTGCAGTCATGAAATTAGATGACTGCTTCTTGGCAGGAAAACTATGACAAATCTTGGTGTATTAAAAAGCAAAGACATCACTTTGCCAACAAAAGTCCATGTAATCAAGGCTATGGTCTTTCCAGTAGCCATGTATGGATGTGAGAGCTGGACAGTAAAGAAGACTGAGTGCCGAAGAATTGACACCTTTGAACTGTGGTGCTGAAGAAGACAATTGAGAATCTCTTGGACAGTAAGGAGATCAAACCAGTCAATCTTAAAGGAAATCAACCCTGAATACTCATTGGAAGGACTGATGCTGAAGCTGAAGCTCCAATCCTTTGGCCACCTGATGCAAAACAGCCGTCTCACTGGAAAAGACCTTGATGCTGGGAAAGATTGAAGGCAGAAGGAGAAGAGGTTGCGAGAAGATGAGATGAGTGGTTGGCATCACTGATTCAGTGAATAAACTTGGGCAAACTTCGGGAGATGGTGAGACAGGAAAGCCTGGCATGCTACAGTGCATGGAGTTGCAAAGAGTTGGACACAGCTGGGCTACTGAACAACAACAGACATTGAATATAGTCCCCTGTGTTACACAGTAGGACCTTGTTTATCTATTTTATATATAATAGTTTGTATCTGGCAATCCCAAACTCCTACTTTATCGCTCCCACCTGTTTCTCATTTGGTAACCACAAGTTTGGTTTCTATGCATTAGCAGTAGGATGAATTTGAGAAATACTAAGAGATTTGTAGGACTGGGTAATTTTAATCCAAACAGAAGCATCATAACCCTACAGAGTCTCAAAAGAGAATTCAAGGTAAAGAAAATAATGTAGAGGATCATGTCATCTGCAAACAGTGAGATCTAAGTTTCTGTTTTGAGTGGCTAATGAATGGTAATATTGTTGGCTGAGTATAATAGAGCTTTGGATTGGCAGGCTGTTTGGTAGTCTGATTTTTGGTCCTTGTCAATAATATAATAAGACTACAACCAAAGAAATCCATTTATGTCCACAGTGTTGGCCCCTTGATTAGTCATTGAGATCTTTACTTGGATATCTAATAGGCATCTTAAACTCGTGTCCAAATCTGAATTCTCAAATATTTCTCCCCAAGCTTGTTCTTTCATTGTCTTAGTCATTTTCCTCAATAGTAAATGAGGAAAATTTACTCCATTCTTTCAGTAGCTTAGGCTAAAAACATTGAATTTATCCTCACTTCTCTCATCTCACAGCCAATCCTAACTGTAATTGGCTCTGTCTTATCACATTCAATGCTATTTGCTATTGCAAGTCACCATCATCTTTCCTTGCCCAAGTCAGAAATGCCACTGAACTATACACTTGAAATGACAAGTTTTATGGTATGTTTATCACACTCAAAAAAGTTTAAAAAGTCAAATCATGTCTAAAACTCTCCAGTGGCTTCTCTCTTCATGAGTAAAGCTAAAGTCTGTAAGATTCTGCATAATTTTTCCTTCCCCCATTTCTACCACATCCCCATCATCTGAGAACCCTTCTCTTGCCACTTTCCCACTTTTGTTCCCACTGCAGCGATAGTGGCCTTCTCAGACTCACCAAATATGCTTCAGCCTCAGATAATTTGTATTTGCTCTTCTCTCCATCTGGAGTACACTTCCCCCCTAAATTTCCACAGGGTGAGCATAATCACTTTCTTCAGCCTATGTATAAAATAGTACTTCCTTTCCTTGCCCTGTCACTCTATCCTTCATATTCTCCTTTATAGTCCTGTAGTTCATGTCACTGTTTACTCTTTGAATTACATATTTATTGAATTTTTGTTTAATGTCTATCCCTTAATTAGAATATAAGTTCCTATGAAACAAAATAGAATGTAAGCTCCCATTTTATTTTTACCACTTAGCAAGATACTTGGCACATGGAAGTTGCTCAATAAATATTCGGTTAATAAATTATTAATGAGTGATGACCCATTTTTTTTTTTTTAAAACATGTGAACAGAATACTTTACTTTAGTAAATTTAAGGATGTGCCAACTAGATTAGATTTCTAGAGTTATCAGTAAGTCAGTTGTTTTCTATTTTGGCTATTTATTTTTGTTTTCAATGAAATTTTTTTGAAAATCTCACTCATTGTATTCATTTGACATCTTTTGAGTATATAGCCTTGTATTCTGCAACTGAATGAAGAGTAAAGAAATAAGGGACATGATTCTTATATTTTAGAATCTCTAAAATTAATATTCAGAAGTTTTCTTTTGAACATAAAAATACACATTTGAGATGGTGTGAATTTCTATTGCAAAAAGCTAAAATAAAGCATTGAAATTATATATATACAGTGGACCTTTGAACAACACGAAGTTTAGGGGCAACAATCCTGCTTGCAGTCAGAAATCTGAGTATAACTTACAGTTAGGACTCCCTCTCCGTGGTTCCATCATATCCAAGGGTTCTACATCTTCAGATTTAACCAACTGCAGATCGTGTAGTTCTGTAGTGTTTACTATTGAAAAAATCCTTGTGTAAGTGGACCTGCACAGTTCAAATCCATGTTTTTCAAGGGGCAACTCTGTGTGTGTGTATAAAAGTAGCTAAAGATTCCTGTATTATCAATATTGTCAAGTACAAGACTTGCCATTACAGTTTTTATGTAGTCAAGAATTATAACAAAATGTATAATAATAAATGTGCCTTTTTGAGAGAAGTAAAATGATCATCATCAGTACTGTATTCTAAAAAGTGAAATACTTTAACTGAGTATTTTAACTGCTTTTCCAAAGTGTATCATTTCACCACAATAAGAAAAGAAAATACATGCTTTATTTAAACAAAACTGAGTCTGATTCTCTTTCCCCACTATAGGTAGCTTTGGATATGTTGAATCCTCAAGTTGCTTTGCCTGTTTTATTCCCAAATCTTAAACAGGGTGGTATATGTGCTGTATATCTAGCAAAGTGAGTAATGTGACTGTACTTTTTTGTAATGTTATTTTTTTAAATTTACTTTATCTCATAAAACTGTTATGAAAGAGCATATGTCCCAAATTTAGTTATATTTCTGGTTAAATCATCCTTTACATAAACAGTAATATAAGATGGCTATTTCTTCTCACAATTTAGAAGAAAAGTTTTTAAAAGTGTAATCTGTATTTTTTTACTTAGTATTCTTTTATGTGCCCTAACTTGCATTTTTACTTTTTTCCCCCTGTCTTGATTTAAGTATAGCATTTAAATTGGGATAAGAGGTATAGTGAACTTAGTTATTTCTGTACTGGAAGTTTAAAGTACAGTATTCACTTTTTTGAAAGCATCACACAGGTTATTGAACTTTTAGATGGAATTCGCATCTGTGAACTTGCCCTCTCATGTGAAAAGATAAGTGAAGTTATTGTCAGAGATTGGTTGGTTTGCCTTGCAAGACAGAAAAATGGAATTTTAGCTCAAAAAGTAGAACCTAAAATCAACACAGACTTACAAGTACACTCTCAAGAAAAAATTAGAATTGAAGGTGAGATGTTTCAATATGATGACCATGGTGAGTTTCAATTCTATTTTATGCATGTGTTGCAATAATAAATGGAGAATACATTCCTGAGTATATGAGCAATACATTATAAAAATATTTCTCAGAGATTTATTATTTTTTTCCTATGGAAATTGAAATGTATTTATTCTGTTCAGTTAAAATCTCTAAGAGAAAGAATCATGACTTTTTCTGCCTTTTATGTAAAACTCTGATACCTTTGAAGAACTGAACTTATAAATATTCATATTTGTGACAAGAGGGTTGGCTTATGAAATATTTTAAATATACTAAAGAATGTTTTAAATTTAGATCAGTGATTATCACTGCAGGGAAAGAATTTAAGGACTTGGTATGCAAATAGCTGATATTCCAAAAAGCAACTTCTAGTATGCTGCTGGAATTTTTCCAAGAACTAAATTTAGTTCCTTATTGTATGTACACATTATTTAGACCATAAACACGTTTTCAGACATCTACTGATTTATGATATGGGCTTATTCATTTGGTAATAAAACCATATATAAAGTTTATCAACAAGTTGTTTCTGTAAGATAACTGTCAGAATAGCTACAAAACAAACACTAAAAAAAAAAAAGAAAAGAAAAAACTTACAGGAAAGGGACAGTAATATGTTGTTTAACAGTTTTGTAAACAAATTATCAAATATTTTATGTAGCTTATAATACATATTTTGTTCTATTACAGAAGAATCACATTCTGATTTTCCCTATGGATCCTTTCCCTATATTGCTAGACCTATACACTGGCAAATTGGTCATACAGGTGAGTAATTTTTTCAGGCTATATTATATGGTATTTTCTTCTCATTATTCCAATCACCTTACCTTTTTCTCCCCTTAATTTAGCTTTTCTTGTCAAGTTGAGGAAGTGCAAACCACAACTTAACTGAGTACCTCAGATGACAACTGATTTGAAGACTTGAAAAGTATCAAAATAGAACTTTATATTGCAAATCAGTACTTTCATAGATTGGTAAGCTATCAGTATGATTTACATGTAACTTTTTTACATAACTTTTACATGTAACTTTGAAAAGTAATAAAAGCTGGAGAAACATGTAACATTTCAAAACTGCTTAAATGTCCCATTTTGACACTTGTCTTGCAGTTTGGTATTTTGTAGTAAATGATTCCAAGTTGGTTTAGTTGAGCCATTTCATTCTTCACTTCCTGTAAACCACTCCATAGATTTGTCTTTCTTCATGAAATTAGTTTTCTTTTCTTTGTTTGATCGATGATCATTGGCTACCAAAATAAAATATGCATTTTGAGGTAAATTTTATGTACCTGTGTATTTTAAATATACACGTTAATGGCTTGTATGTATCTTAGAAAATAACAAGTCTAGGCTATAGTAAATAATAGGGAAAAAACTGATAATGATATCACTATGTAACAAAAGATGTAACAATTCTTGAATCTCTTTTGCCCTTTTTAACAGTTTGAAAGAACATCAGAATTATTCTGTTGTTATATAAGTCAAATGTTTGGGGAGTTTCCTGGCAGTCCAGTTGTTAAGAGCTTGGCACTTTCACTGCCATGGCCCAGGTTCAATCCCTGGTCAGGGTACTAAAATCTTGCAAGCTGCATGATGCAGCTAAAAAAAGTTTGGAGAGATACACTTTATAAATATGAACTAATTAGGACTAGATTTTATTTTTCATAGGCACCAGTCATTTAGCATTTCCCATGTGCCTTACACATCTTAAGGACTTTATAATGTCTTTTTATTTAATATGTGCTGCTCATCCTTAAGGTTATTCATATTTTACAGATAAACATAAGCTTAAAGTTATTGTTTAAATATAGATTTTTATAGGTTTTGAAGTAGTAGTGCCTGTAAGGATAAATGCTACTTATCTCTTAGGCTAAAACTACTTAATATAGATATCCTAAAAAACATTTTACATACTTTTCATTATGTGGAAAATCTAGTCTAAAATCTCTACCTTTTTTTTTTCCATTTATTTTCATTAGTTGGAGGCTAACTACTTTACAATATTGTAGTGGTTTTTGCCATACGAATGGATAAGAAAGCTGTGGTACATGTACACAATGGAGTATTACTCAGCCATTAAATCTCTGCCTTTTTAGATTTTATACCCTATAATAGAGATAGACATTAAAAAAATCACACAAATATAAAACTAAAACTGTTATAAATGCTTCAGAAAAGTACAGGGTACAATAGAGATTTTGCTCAGGTAAAGTAATTACCTGTGCAAGTGACAATTGAGCCAAGACCTGAAGGGTAGATAAGAGTTAACTACAGCAAGGAAAATGAGCACGAAAAGGTGTCAGTGATATTGCGGTTGACTGAAAGAGACTGAAAAGAAGGTAGGGGTCAAGCCATGCAGGATCTTGTAGACCTGTTATGGAGTTGGTTTATCCCAAGAAAAATGGTGTGCTACCGAAGGATTTAGTGAAGTAAGGGGTAACATGCTTAGATCTGTGTTTTGAAAAAAAATCACTTTGGTTGCATCTAGAGAACTGATTAATCATAAGCAGAGAAGTCTTCTGGTACTATTTCTGTGTGGTAAGTATCTGAACCACTTATATAATAATAATGGCTTTAAACTTTCCATAACAATTCCAGATGTATAGAAGTTCTAATATGCATTTTTAAATTCCATCATGGAATACTCTCCATTCTTCTGCCCTTCTGTTTAACTGCTAGTGAAATTGTGTCCTTCATTTACTGTTTTGAACACAGGCCCTAATTGTACTTTTTGGAGAAGGGGATGACTTAAAGAGAGAAAAGTTGTGCCTTCTCCTGTTTCATGTAGAATAATTTGTTTGGTACACTGCTCAGTAGATGTTGAACTAAACAAGACCTAACAGTGTCGATTCTAATACTGAATTGAAAACAAAACTACAGAAGCAAATAAACATTTATTTGCATATTTAATCAAAGTCCAGTTTAAGCCCTTTTTCCATCTCTTCATTGAATACTAAGCATCTTTATAATTTGGTTTGTGGGACAGATGCCTTCTTCTAAAGTTAGCTTTCTTGGTTCATGTCTGGCCCTCATTTACCACAAAATACTCCTAGAGATCTGTGACTGACTCACAACTGTCTTCCTAGTAACTTCCAGAGGTCCTGATTTTTCCACCCAGTAAATGGTCAGTAAAAGTTTGCTGATGGCTTTGAAGCCTACACTGGATCAGGTATTATTTCATCAATGTTGACTTGGTTGTTCTAGGGGGAAATGTAAGTATATAGCTTATGGATTATGGAAGACTTTGATTTTGAACTTACTTCCGAATCAGTAGGAAAGTTAAGTTTCTGTGTTTATGCAAAAGCAGGTATTTTTTAAAAGTCTGTTAGCAGTGTCTGAGTATTTAAAGGGAGGAAAAACCATTAAATGAGAAATTTCATAGTAATACATAGTGTACAACCATGAGGTTGTTGTACAATATACATATACAACTAGGAATGGTGGAAAAGGAGAGAATCTAAAAAATTATTATAAAGGAAGAACCAGATAAGCTGGTGGTTCACTGGATGTAGAGGGAGAGAAGCTATATATACTCAAACTTTCATCCACTGTTCAGAAGCCCTTTCCCTTATTTCTCTGGGCTGAACAGGATTCAGTCAACACCCAGCTCATAAATTACTTCCTTGGAATAGCCTTCACTATATATCTTACTCTGCAGAGTTAATTTTGAAATCTTTTATGCTCGTAAATGTTGATTATATAATTATCATTGGTAATTTATAAGCCCTGATTATGCCTTCATTAAAGATTTTAAAATGGGATGACTAGAACAGTGGTAATGACAAAAGTAAATAAGAAAGTTCAGAGAAGGATTTATTTTTGAGGGAAAATTATTTGCTTATAGATTATATAGCAGTTGGAATGTCTCATGTCTGCCTACATGACTCAGGAGTAAGGTTTGGAATACTGCTTTCTTCCCCTTGGCTTCACTCTCAACTCTGGGGAGTCCTCAGATAATACATAATAATATGTATCCATGTTTCAGATAGATTAGCCTAGGTGCCATAGGCTTAAAATAGCATAAGGTAATTTAGTTGGTATAAACATGTACTATCTCTTCAGATAAAACTGGGTTCCATCTTGGTGTTTTTATTGTTGCTACTTTACTATGCAACTGTGACTTTTCTGAGTTTGTTTCTTCATCAGTAAAAGGAATGTCATAGTGTCACTTCGGATTTCTTGGTGGAGTCAAGTGTTAAATGAGAAGGATTTATTTTTGAGGAAAAATTATTTGTTTAAACCTTTATAAGGTAGCTTAGCACATGATTGGTGATTGTGATGCATGTCAATTTGTACAGAATGCTTCATCTATCCCCCACAACCTTAGCAAAACCAACTATTTTATTCTTAATAAATGTTATAAATGTTTATATAAACTTGTTTGTTGAACATGTTGTTTTGAGAAAAAAATTGTTAAGGTAGAAAAACGTAATTTTAACCTGAAAAGCAAGAAGTTGCTTGTATTTGAAAGAAGGATGGAAGCATGGATATCATCTATTGCTAGTTTTAGCATAAAAGCCTGGAGATCATCAGTTCTTTGTATCTCGCTTGGAGAATGAATCATCTGCAACCACAAACCTTAGGTGATTCCAGCAACCTTATGTGAACTGGAGGGAGAGAATTCTGCTGAATAGAGGCCACTACTGGCATCAACAGCTGCTGAGGCAGTAAGAGAATGACCGCTGTCCTGATAATATCATGTTATCCTTAAACCTCCCCAGCCCCAATTAGCTCACTCTCTTGTTAAACCTATTGAGGGAAAATGAATTTAAGTGTTTATTGGTCAAGTGTATGTATGAACAGTATTTTTTCTTTGTATTGACTACCCTCTGTCATCCTGAAACAATAGGTTTTACACTAGCCTTGAGTTAATACTGAGAACAAAACAGAAATGAGAAAGTAATTGTTTCTTCCTATATAGGACTTATATATCCTAAGCCTGGGTGTCAGGGTGTTCATCCAGAAACGGATGAAAGCACAATTCTGTTTACAATTGCCCTAAATCAAATGCCCCCCCTTTCATCTAAAATCCCTCAAAGACCTGCTTTTTTTTTTCTTTCCTTGAAGCAAGCTGACTGGCAGAGCCTCTTCCTCCCTTGGTGCACTCTGATTTCCCATTGAAATATCAACGCCTAAGCGTAGACTCTGACTACTCTTGGTATCTAAGGGGCTAGTTTGAATAAAATATAAGTGCTTCTGTTCTTCTTTCTTTAAATATTTGTTCAAATTGTGGTTGGAATTCTCTTCTAGTTCATACAGCCTTCCATCAGGGACTTCGTTCTTAATGCTCTCACCAATTCCTTAATCCTTGGCAGTCAGCTCGGACTTCTGTAGCAACTTATTTTTACCACAGAAGGCAGGATTTCATCAAAGAGGTCAGTATAGCATCATAGGAATTCAGGCTGTAGTAGATTCAGACCTGGGTTCAAGTGTCACTCTTATCACCTTGGGGAAAGTATTTAACCTCTCTAAGCCTCTGCTTCCTTATCTACAAAGTGGAAACACTAGTATTTACCTTGGCTTGGCTGTGAGTATTAAGTGAGGTTATGAATGTAAAATGCTCAGCACATTGCATAGAACATTTTAAACATCTAGTAAATCTTACCTGTTATGAGGATAAGAGTGTAAGCAAAAGGAGCTGGGAGAGAGGAGAGGGATACTTAAAGGTAACTCTTATTTTATAATTTAGCCTATGGTAGATCCTATTTACCCTCCAATATGAGTGAACAAATAAAAATTATGGTTGAAGATGTTACAAGGGAAGAGACTAAACTATCAGTCAAAATATTTAGTGATTACTATGGCCAGTGAAAGTGAAAGTGTTAGTTGCTCAGTTGTGCCCAGCTTTGTGACCCCCATGGACTATAGCCCACCAGGCTCCTCCATCCATGGAATTCTCCAGGCAGGAATACTAAAGTGGGCTGCCATACCCTTCTCCAGGAGATCTTCCCAACCCAGGGATCAAACCCAGGTCTTCCAAATTGCAGGCAGATTCTTTACCATCTGATCAGGGAAGGGAACAATGACAGGCATGACCCCTACCTTCAAGAGTCTTAAGAGATTAGTTTTTCTTTTAGTAAAACTTCAGTAGCTGAGTGGTAAAAATAAATAGGTGAAATTCTGAAATAATGTGGGTCTCATTATAGTCTTAGAGGCATAAAAAATTACCAGTCCTATCTTCAGATGGGTGAAAATCTGGGACAAAGGTACTATAAGAAGTAAAAAGGATCATTGCTGGTAGAATATT